CGAAAAAGCCCAGTAATACTTTGCCCGACCCGGGAATCGAACCCGAGACCCCTTGCCCGGCAGTCGCAATTGCGACCACTCGACCAACGAGGCAGTCACTCGGCCAACGAGGCAGTCAAATATAAATATAAATAAATTTAATAGGATATTAAATTTATTTCATATATATTATATTGGACTGTCCAATCAGATGGAAGTTATGAAGTGGATTTTATGGGCCGTGTTTTGTCTAGTTTAACGATAAACTTTTCCTCGGTGCAGTGGAAAATGCTATTAAATTGAGTTGTTTTACGTTGTTATGGCAGAATTTTATTTCAGAAGTAATGCATAGAAACGAGGATAAAGGAGGTTTTATGTACACCAGCCTGTTGGTTATTTGTTTTAGTTTTTCTGCTATTGTGTTATTTTCGGTCTACTAGTGTTAAACTCACTGCAGTAATTATGCAGATTGCAAATTATTACCTATCTTCAGGTAATCTTCCTTTCATGGAAGAGCTGATTAAAGTCAATATTAAAATTGTATTCCCAAAATACTAACAACATAACACCACGCCTTTTTTTCCGAAGGGGTAGGCCGAGGTGCATATTACAGCACTCAATGCTACTGTACAATGTAACACTCACTTTTCACTATTTATGTTTTGAGACCCATGTAATAGGGGATGAACCTATTGCCATATACCGGGCAAATTTCCAGACTCCGTGTTACTACTGAGTATTTTTTTTATCTAGTAATATTTTGCCCGACCAGGGAATCGAACCCGAGACCCCTTGCCCGGCAGTCGCACTTATGACCGATGAGGCAGACCCAAAATATAATGTTATATTGATCTTTATTTAATTTTCTTTAACATATTACTTAACTTACATAACTGTTCAACGAGGTTCAATGTCAAAGTCAAAGCATTTATTTCAATTAAACCATAATTTGGTACATTTGAAAAGTCAACAAATACAAAATAAATAATAGTGAAGGTAGGTCAAGCTAGGTGCTCATTCCAAAATGTAGATTCGAATGGAGAAGAACGAGCAAGAAACTCCATTCGTTACTCTTTTTAAAAAAGTATGTATCTCTGATATATATTTCAATACTGTAAGCATATGTAAGAACAATGTTCTTCGACAAGTATCAAGTCACACTCGGGGTTCATAATCATAATCAGCATACCTTAATGGAATGACAGCATAATAACATGAATGGTTTGAAGCCTGTAAAATCCAGTCCATCTGTTTAGTCTACAATTAAAAATAGCAACAGTGAGGAACATCAAAATTCATGACGTTTTTGTTACGTAGATAACTTGTACAGCAGTATTTAATTTCAGAAAATATATTTATAAATGTATGTATGTAAGCTAACCTGGGTATTTAACACTTTTTTTTTGAGGGGGGAAAATCATCCAATGACTTCTCCCGCCCACGTTAGGGCGAGAGGGAGTGTCAGACTCTTACTGTCTAAAAACCACCCCGTTCCTACTCCTGCACTTCGAGCCGGAGCCCCGGCAACCCGTTAAGTCTTCCGCGGCTCCGTATCAGCATCTCTCTGTTGGGCCCCATCTGTGGTCTTCAATATCGCATTTGGTAACGCTGAACAATAAGGCAGTTTGTAAATATAATGATCTCTAAATAAATCTAGTTAAATCTGGACTTGCAAAAGGCCGGATCTACAGCTATGAACCCACTATTCATGGCTGTAGAGTAATTATAAACAAGTTGTTAAAGAATTTGAAACTGACGAAGAAAAATTTGTATAGGTGAGTCAGTAGCAGCATGATTTATTTACACTTATGAAGACTCATTAATATAATCTATTCAAATATTTTGAAATAAAACAGGTGATGATTAAGATCTGCGTAGTTGATTCGAATCGATGGATATTTGCACGTCAATTTTTTCAAGGCTCGTAAATATAATAACTTTGTGTATCATCAGTCAGTTAACCATCTCCGCTTTTATTGACAGCGATTGTAAAGTTTCGCAGAACTATTTACCTTTTCAACACACTGTTTATAAAACTTTAATTATAATTAAAACCAAGGTTATGCAAGCAAAGTCAAGTGCGCCAAAATGTTCCTTTATTAATAAAAATGTTAGTAAACTCTGAATTTAACACTCACTAACGCGGTAAGTCTGAAAAATTGAGTATCTATAAATATAAAAAGGCTTTATTTTGCACGAATCTGGTTATTCTGACAAAATGTTTGCCATATATCACGTTTCAGACGCTATTGTTTGCGTATTTATAAATATGGGTACAAAAATAGTTACATTGGTATTATCCTTCTATATATATTTGTATATTTCGGTGGCAAAGTGATGTTTATCTCCGTATTACGGTGAGAGAATAGGTATTAGCATAATCTTTAAAAATCCTCTAAGATTAGTTATGAAGTCTAATACTACTGATTGATTAAACAAGGGATCACTTCTAGTACCACCAGCATGTAGGACCAGACGGCTTCATAACACGAAGTTAGAAATGTATAATAGAAGAAAGTCTAAATGCTATTTTACATTGATATAATTATGCCGTTACAACAATTTGCAGTATTTCATGAAAATTACAGCTTTATACGTATAATATAAGTTATAATAAAGAGTACTAGAAAGTTTATGTCGTAAATATCACCTTTGGCAAAAGTGAGTGGCCACAATCAGTTCCAATATAAAGAATGCTGCCATAAATCTCTGGGCTAAGCGAACTTTATTATAAACGTGAGGGGAAGCTCAAGTAACCCCCAAATGCTAGTCGTAACTGGTAAGTCACGGATCATGTGTTGGCTTAAGTCCAAGCGTGGCTGACCGACTCTAATCGTTTCCGCTCATTTGTAACTAGCGACGGTCGTCTAATGATCGCCCAATATCTTTTTGAACGCGCTTTATGTAGTTGACTCCCAAAGAAATCGTCAAGTAAACCAACTATAATACAATTAACTACTACTATAACTCTATCCATATTTTTAACTTTTTCTCTGAATTACTTTTCAAGTATTTTAGACTAGACGGTTTTAATGACGTGTTTTTTCGTCCCAGACACCAAAAAGTTTGTCAGGACGAAACGGCACCCCAGATAATACGAACCGATTTCTCTTCTCCCTCAAGATTTCTTCCATTTTATGCAAAGGAGTTCTATATCTAGGACGAACGGTAGACTATTGATTTTTTTAGAAATATTAAAGGACATCTGTCGTTCGCAGTTACAGCGGTTTACTGAAACTCGGGTTATATAAATCGTTTACGTGCCATGAATGGCGGCGCGCGGCGCGCAGCGTATCGAGAGGGCTCGTTGTAAATACTCCTTTTATTGTATATCGATATCAATGATAATTATCTTTTAACGCATATTTGTTCGCATTTCAGTTGATGTGTAAATATATTTTGGAAGGCAATCACTTTTAATAGTATCATGTTTTGTACAGTGCTCAAATTACCAGATAATTTTGTAAATTGCCAATTATAGTCGCATGAGAAGCATCGTCGACGATATTACATTTTTTTTTCGAAATGTCAAATAATATAAAAGTGTAGTTGTATAAGTACTTATATAAATCTACCTTCGACATTTAAGTTAGTAGGTCCCTATAAAAGGAGACGAGGCTGTTATCACATAACGAGTTCATTCATTATTGATACCTTAACTGACGATCTGAACTGTAATAAATACTTCTGGAAATAAATAAGATCGAAATTCAATTGTGAGTGTAACCCAAGAAACTATATAAGATGTTAATATTGTTAATCGAGACCCGAACTAGATCGTGTAATGACATTAGCGTCCTTTTCATCTTAGCAACACAAGAATCACACGATTTGGGTCAACTTACAGAATCGAGTGTCGTTATTCCGGAACCACATAAATCTCATTATAGCTTAATTACAAGCGTTTAACTAACAATTGGCCAGTGAACCGTAATCAATGAATAATGAACGTGGAAGATTTAGCGTCATTAGTTCACTATTCTTGTAGCATTAATCGCCGTAGAGGCAGAATACTCGCGGGATTTGTTTCGTATTACGGTTTTACGACGCCGCGCTGCTCTGTGGCTTCCGACATGTGAGCACGTTTATAACAAGGTGTATTATGTTTATTGATGAGCTTTGTACATGCCATTCTGTGGTTTAAATACTTTATTTAACGACATCATTAAACACGATCGAAAATTCAAATAACACACCTACATGGTTGTACTTTGTCGCGTTCCTAATATGAGTAAGAATTTTTTTTACGTGTGTAAAGAAGATAAGGTTTTCAAACAAAACTACTGTTTATGTGTGTAATTATGTATGTCAGTCACCAAGTTACCACAAAATTGTATCTTTATTGATATTTTTCCTTGGCATCTGATTTTAATCGTGTAAATATAAACACGTACGCGTATAATCTTGGCGTATAAAGCGTGTTTGTATATTTACATCTCTCACGATCTTAAACGTTGTTTGTTTGTTCCAAGTTCGACAATGCTATACGTTGAAGAGTAATTGCCACCACAATGTTACGCCTTGTTCTCCAAATATAATCCGTAATGAATTTTCATTACAATTTCTACAGCGTTCTGGTTGGCATTCAAAATAATTTTACTGTAAATTTTGTTTGTACTCGTTCTACATAAAGTTTATTTTAAACTTTACCGATGAGTGATTAATTTTATAATAATTATGTTCAAGAGATTTTGTGCGGTCGACTCGAAAATGAGAACGCTTTGGTGATAGTCCTTTAAATTAAATTAAATGTTATTTCGGGATTATTAATGTTTGGACTGTGAAGAAATGTGAAGGCTAACCAATGAAGGTTGTTAGATTGTTCAAACCAAAATAAAAATGTTTGTCTGTTTTATCTCTGCGCTATATTTGATTACAATGAGTGCAGCATCTAAAAAGTATGAAATCATAACAAACGGGCTCACTTTCGCATTCATAACATCTACAAAGAATCAGCTACAAAGTCTAATAAATCACAATGAAATAATTCTATTCAATAACTTTTCTGTTTATAATTTCAGTTTCGTCTGTTCGACGTAGAGGTGGGGCAGGCAGGAGACGAAGCCGAAGGCGACGTGGCTATATCGGAGCTAAATCAAAACAACATCGACGTCACTGTTATGTCTGGGAAAGATTCCACTTCAAGCCCTGAAGAAACAAACTGGACAGAAATATCAACAGCACTTATGAAGGGAGATAAAAATTCCCGAACAGAAGTTGAACTCAATCGACTTCCTATCATCTTAGTAAATGACAAACCGCCAGAAGATTTGGACCAAAAATGGCGGAATATTATAGAACTGTCCAATAACGATAAACTAAAGGTTTTTCATACTAGGAGAAGATATAAGAGGAAATTCTGTAGGACGAGAAGATACGCTGCCTTCAAAAGGTCATACTCCATTGGTTAGGGTTATTTAAGATATTGTACATAATTGTATGTATCTCGTAGGTATATTACTGTGATTGAGTATTTTTAAGTGGGACAAGGAACTGCCTTATGTACTAGGTGTATAGCTATAGTAATAGATACCTATAAATGAGCTTCTAAATGCTACTAAACAGCTTTTATGTTTGTCGTTGCGTTGTCGAATTTTATCAAAGGCCTGTTCCACAATGTCTGATTAAGTTTTTATTTCTCTGACCGACGTATAATAGGGATGATGACAGGATATAAAAATTATAAAACTAATTAGTCCGTCAGTTAGGTAATGAAAAAATATTAGACACTAGTTTTATTTATTTTGTCGTAAACGAAAACAATAATAATATTATTATTAAATATGATAAAACGAATTAAAGTTGTGTAAAATAGGAGTGGGGGTTAAAACGTCATTTCTACGTATAAAATGTACATAGAAGTGACGTCACGCGACATTTCAAATCACTATATCTTCGAAACTATTCGTTTTCGTAAGAAAATAAAAAATAATGTTTTTAAATAACCTATCAGACGGACATTAAAATAAAAATTAGTCATCTACCCTATTAAGATTATTTTCAGAATGAAGTGTGTGTGAATGTCCTGAAAGGTCTTTTAAGCTTACTGCTACTTAATCAAATATTATTAAACCGGACCTAAATCTAATAGCTATGCCATAATATTAAAAGAATATGGCGAATTAGGACACACAGAGACTTAAAACTATTGATATTGTTTAATAAGGACAGATCAACAAATGGCTGACCTCGTATTGACGTTGTACCTTTACCTTATTATTTGGAAATGAGTTAATCTAAATTCGTTTTCTGTGAAGTAGTCACAATAAAGTTGTATTTACTCCAGTCCCTGTTAATTGTGTCAAAAGGTCTGTTACCTATTGTTTTGTAAATAATTCTTATGTTTTCTTTATACACAAATTTTTCTCTATTAAACAACCGAGGTCATAAGTAGACTTGTTTGCTAGCTCATGATACTTGGCTAGGTTTAATGTTTTAATGACTGCCTCCTTGCCCGAGTGGTCGCAAATAGGATTGCCGGGCAAGGGGTCTCGGGTTCAATTCCCGAGTTGGGAAAATTATTACTGGGTTTTTCGAAAAATTTCGCAGTAGAAGCACGGAGTCTGGAATTGTGTTCGGTTTATGGCAATAGACTCACCCCCTATTATATGAGACTCATAACATAAATAGTTAACAGTGGGTATTGCATTGTACAGTGGCATCCAGTGCCTATCCCTTCGGGGATAAAAGGCGTTATGTTATGTTATTTAATGATTAGCAAAATTAGTGGTGTTGCGAAAGATGAGGGCTTAATGAGATAGTTTTTTATTCAATTATAAAATGACGTACTCATATCTACATAAAATATCAAGTATAAGGTACAATACAGTGACTAGTCTATGTTTATATTATAACCTTTGTAAGATATACTTAATTAATTAATATGTTTGCGGCTTACGTAAATGTTTGACGAGGAACTTGACTAGTTTCATTTATGAGCAAAATTCCGTGATACAGGACCGCGACGCGGCGTTTTTCGAGTTGCTGCTGGAATGAATAAGCCTCTAGCTGGCTTGAAACTGGTCGAGTTCCTCGGCAAACAGTTGCGTGAGTAACTCGAAAATATTACAATTAATTTAGTACAAGGGTTTTTAAAAAGAACCTCAGTAGCAGCTCGGAGTCTGGAAATGTGCCCGGTATATGGCAATAGGCTCACCGCCTATTACATGGGACTCATAACATAAATAGTGAAAGGTGGGTGCTACATTGTACAGTGGCATTAAGTGCCGTAATGTGCACCTCTGCCTACCCCTTCGGGTATAAAAGGCGTGATGTTATGTATGTAGTAATTTAGTACAATAGTCACTATGATTATGCTAGAAATACTCAGTAGATTATTTATTTGTATGATCCTGATTGTAACTGTTACATCTACTTGTACTTAAAATATACACATTCCTACTTTGTTCTTCAAAGTACATCGAAGTAAATAACATTGAAATTAATAAATTGTATTGAAACATTTCGTTTAGTTTCAAAGCCCGACAAAATATAGGGAACAAAAGAAAAATCATGGAAACATGAAATCGGTGGTTCACAAAGCAATACTGAATTCAAAGATATTCAATCTATATCTGTAGGTACAGATAAATAAAATTGGAGTGTCTCTTTGTAATATTATAATAACCGCTTTTTACTACATACATATGTATATACATTTTTTTTAAGGGGGGAAAATCATAAAATGACTGCTCCCGCCTGGGTGAGGCGGGAGGGAGTGTCAGACTCTTACTGACTAAAAACCACCCCGTTCCTTCTCCTGCACGTCGAGCCGGAGCCCCGGTTACCCGTTAGGTTCTCCGCGATATATAATATATACCTAAACGAAACCCACACCAAAATATTTTTTTTTTCAATTTTTGTCTGTCTGAATATCTTTTTAATCATATCAATAATTGTCTGGCTAATCTTTGGAATGGCGGGACCGATATTGCAAGACTTTTATTGGCAAGTAGCTGATGTACTAAGAAGTAACATAGGCTACTTTTATTCCAGATAATTAGAACAGAAAAAATAATGTTCTATAATTCATATCGATAAAGTCACGGGCAACAGCTAGTATATTATAAAAATATATATATTTAATACCTTTTGCCTAATTTATTTGTGTTTTGTGAGTAGAAATGTTGTAGAAACCTAAGAATCAATGATGCAAATGATTTGATTATAAATAGGTATATGATACGGGTAGGTATTCTACATTAAAAAAATATGTAAGTACTGCTAATGTGATTAGTATAATAGGTATGTATGTGTACTTATCGTAAAAAGATATTTATATGGATTTAAACCGAAAGAGTGCGGTAATATTCGACTTGGTGTTATGGCGTAGGTAAGCAAATATTTAAGTCTGATATCTGTGTGTATACAAATGTTGGATTAAAAGTAGTTAAGTTTTATCAATAGTCGTAGATTACATAAAACTTGCTCTGATCTTCATCAAAAAGGTAAAATTGAAATATCACGACCAATGTGGGTGTTTGTAATTATAAGTTTTGAAATACGAAGGTATTTTAATTCAAATAATTTGTTTGATTTTAGCTTGGAATGCGTATTAATCTCGAATTCTATTGTAGCAATACAGTTTAATTTAATCTTACAATGTAGAACAAGATTGTAAAATTTTCTACGAATTAAATTACGGTCTTTTTTTGATAAACAATAATAAATATTCATACAACTTTAGAAACTTTGCTTTCTCGCCAGTTATGTGACGAGTCCTGTTTTATAGGGTCGAACTTATGCCAGACTTCATTCTGTTTGCTAAAATCTTCTTAATCTTGCAAAGGTCAATCTGAGAATATTCCCCTCCGCAATCTCCCCAATCTTTAACTCCCAAATCCTCGAATATCTAACTCTTAAAATTCCTCTGGTGTTGCGTACACAAGTGGCGCTAATTGCTTACCGCCAGGTGATCCTCACTCCCTACTTGGTTTATCTTTGCGATTAATCGACTGACTTTTTTTTAAGGGGAAATAATCATCGAATGATTTCTCCCGCCTGAGTGAGGCGGGGGGGAGTGTCAGACTCTTACTGACTAAAAACCCCCCGTTCCTGGAGCCGAAACCCTGGTAACCTGTTAAGTTCTCCGCGGCTTCGTATCGGCATCAGCCCTATTGGGCCACCCATCTGTGGTGGTCTGATGGCTCTTTGAGGCGCGCGCGCAACGCGACGCGCCGCACGCTCGGGTCTGGTTCTGGTGGGATAACCGACTGACTAGGCAGTACAACTGTATCAAATATAATCAGCACTAATATAAGACTGATGTATGTATCAAGTTTCAAATTCAATGTAACTGACTTTGTTGACTGAGTAAGATCGATTAGACCACGGACTGACCTTTGCATGTAATTGATAACCACTGACTGCATACAAACTGGTGTTGGGTAGGCTAGTTTATGGTATCAAAATGGATTATCGTATGATGTATCTGGAGCTTTACAATCATCTTACTACGTGACTATTTGAATTTACATATTCTTTATAGATACTAAAATTATGAAGATAAGTTTATATCAGTACCGAAACTTAACCTTTCAAGTTATCAACGTGAAGATGAAACGATGGAGCATAACAAAGCAGATTACTGTGTCTTAGACATGTCCCGGGTCAACAGTTGTTCATAGTCAAACTAGGATAGTGGTAGGCAGTCCTTAATTGAATAGTTTCATTGACTTCGCCCTCGGTTAGATTACAATCAATTTGCCGGAGTGGGTACAATGTGTACCGCAGAGAGGCGTGGTCGGCAGAGCGCGCCAATTAAACCCTGTGTACGTCGCAGGCCCCAAGAGATACGCTTTGAACCCGTTAACCCACGCAGTAAATAGACAAGCAGAGTATTGTATTCTGTTGAGCATAATGACAGGTAATAGGTCTGCCGTTTAGAGGCCACTCGCTTTTTTATTGCTCCCTGCGTCTACCATTACCGAGGGAATCGTTCCAATCGTAAACAATAAATTAATTGCTTTATTACCTATATTATTTAGCTTTATTGCTGTAATATCGATACGATGTTATTGTTGTTAATTACAAAGCCTGTTAGGATATTGATTTTAAGAGTAAGGCCTAAGTATAGTTTAGTAGTTGATTGTCCTGATCTAGTGTTTGGTGATCGATCAAATTGACAAAGTCTAGACCACCGTCAACTGTAACGCGCATCTTAACATGGAGCCTAATATGTAACCGTGTCCCGTATGTACATACATAAGCCATTGACCTAAAACTTTGATGAACAAACGAAACAAAGTCAATACACATAATGATGCCTTGTGTGTCTATTTATTAAAGATATAAAAGTAATACACTGTACGTGAAACACAACAACAACGGTGTTGCTTTTAAAGGGATCAGTTTTCATAACCCACTAGCAAAATCAGGTTCAGACAAACGAGGCACGAGGAGCCTTGATTTGGCCAATCAGGGAACACGAGGCGTGCGCTCTGTAGACCTATTTGATTCGCAAATACCAAGAACCCACTGATATTTTGTTACTTATTTGAATTCCGTACATACTCCGTCGGGATTTGACGTCGTGATCCTGATCGTTCACTCAGAACGGCGTGCTCGTACTATGAATATCAATATTTTTTTACATCGACCCACGATTCACAGGTAAATTGAATTTCGATTTATAAAAATAGCATCATGCATGGCTCTGTCTATTTCTGATGAAT